TATAAAATTAGATTTTGAGATAATTCTAAGACATTTTTACATCAAAATTATATACCATGATAAAATTTGAAGGTGCACCTTACCTCTACAGCTAAAGATACATCCGTATGCCAACGGCACCCTTTTTAAAATGGATGCTTTGTATATGTGGACCGCATATTATAGAAATGCAGTCCAGCCCGCATGAAACAATTTTTCAAAATTAAATGCATTGAGAAGCTTGAAAAAAATAAAAATAAAAAGCAATAGGTATTTACAAAGTAATTAGTAACTAAAATCAGAATGAAAGAAAATTCGTGCAGCCATCTTAAATAGTTGAAAAGAGTCTCACAAATAAATAACTAAAAATAAAAAGACTATTTCGCGAGAGATAGAGAGAGAGTAGTTTTTAGACTGAGAACCCGGGGGAGGGGTTTAATAACCACTAGTTGTTTTACAGTTTTACTACAAATTTCTTTTGGTCGTTTGTAATCCCGAATACTTCCCTATATTTGTTAAGGGGAAAAGTTTTTATAGGGCCTAGGCTCTAAACAATCAAATTAGAACCTACCTCAAAAATTCCATTAGAAATTGTTTTTACATCCAAATATCATTAAATTGATCATCTCGACATCAAGATGCATAGACATGAGAAAAAAATTGATGTCAAGTTAGGGAAATAGTGTATCTTGTAAGGCATTTTTTGACCGTGAATTTTTAAGATTTTCAAGTTTTCATAGATCTATTTGATCTACACTATTTTTGAAGTTTTAAATTTTATAATTAAAAATGAAAATATATTTTAAGACTATTACAAAAATTTTCAATATTAAAACCATATTTCTTGACATTATTTGAAGGTAGGCACAAATTTGATTGTTTAGAGCCTCGGCTCTATACAAATTACACCCTTTGTTAAAGCATAGTTAATGAGGTAAATGTTCCAAAAACCAGGAGCAAGTGTCCAGTCCCAAAAAAGTCTGAGATTGCATGGTTTATTAACCTGTAGCATCTCACCAGGCAGTCAGTGCAGGACCACGCTCTAAATAAAGAGAGAGACCACAGCAAAACCCTAAGCTCAAAACCCTAGCCCTATCTGATCCTCAAGGATTTAAATCTGAAAGTCCATAACGCTAACCTGAGTTTGCAACTAAAACCTTAATCTCAGAACCCAAATCCTCTACTCCAAAACCACAAAACTTAACTGCAAAGTCCTATGCGTTGCGTCCTTCTTTGGCGGTGATTTTTATGTGTCTTCAGTTAGACCAGTGATCGAGATGCATGAAGCCTCTGCAATATTTCGGATTCTGGCAAAGTTTCGTCAGAAGTATCAGTAAACTTTGCTATTTTTTAGGAACGCATTACTTCGTTCGTGAAAATTTTCCAAAATTTCGCTGCAAAAAGCTCGACTTTGGGTAAATTTGGCTCACTTCAGTTTGTAGTTATCATATTTGGGCTTAATTTTTGGACCCAAATTTGCCGAATTTTCAGCGAGATATGGAAGGTGTCTGGAATCCATGTTAAGAAGATTTCGTACGTTGCCTGTTCAAATAAGGAGATTGGATTTTCACGTCCGAAATCTAACAATCATGAATTCTTTATTTCGGTTGATGGGGGGGTTGTCATGTTGGTGACTCACTATACTAATTAGTCCGAGCTAACAATCATAAATTCTTTGTTTTGGTAGATGGGGGGTTAATCATGTTGGTTGGTGCCCCACTATACTAATTAGTCCCAGTAGGAATGAAGCCCAAGAAGTCAGGTTGCTGATTACTCCGAGACGGTGTTGAGCTCAATAAATCAGGTTGGTGACTCGTCATCCTGACCGCCTAGTGTTGAGCTCATACCTAACAACAATGAATTGATTCATGCTAGACGTGCACCACACCACGTATTTATACTTTCTTAAAGAAAATTAAAAATTGCATATTGGCTCCTCAATACCACAACCATAATATCGAAAACGTGGACCTTTTTTTATCGTGCAATAATCGCAATCAAGAAAAGGTGTTACACATATAGCCTTTTTTTTTTTTTTTCATTAACTAATTGTTTTCTCTAGTC